CTGCATTTTACAACCGCACCCGCACAACGACCAATGTAAACTTTTGGGCCCAGAAGTTCTTGAGATTTGGGGAGAAACGAAAACCTTCTGGGGGGCCCGGGCATGCTGAGCCTGGCCCTGGAGCCACCTCATCCCCGGCTCTGCTGGACCTGTGGAGATAACCGAGCATCAGCATTGACAGGCCAGGGAAGCAAGGCGCAGTTCGCCTGCCTTTTCAATGACTCCTCCCTTGTTGGAGGGAAAATATCCGGACGCAAAGTTCTTTATTCTCTTAAAGGCAGCAGGGGACCAACTGGGGCCGTGGCTTGGAGAAACAGACAGCCCCTTTATTATATTTAAATGCTCCCGTCTTTACAGCTGGAAGCCCAGAACACCAACAGTGCCAAGGCATTCTCTTTCCAGGGAGCCGAAGTAGCTGAAGTTGGTCAGGCCAGTCGCCCTGGTCTCTGGGCTTCAGAATCCCCTGCGGAAGACGCCTTCAGCGCCAATAAGCAGACACCAGCATCCACGGGGGCCGCAGGCACCAGTGTTCATTTTTGCTGGGGGTGAACCCAGGGCCTATGTGCCTGCTCAGCAAGTGCTAACCCCTGAGCCACCCCCAGCCTCCGAGTACCGTATTTTCCAGACCTCTCGAGGGTTCCCAGTGTGCAGTGCTTTGTGTGGAGCACACCAAGCAGCCCACGCGCACGAGCGAACCACAGGGCCTGGGGTCCGGTCCACACTCCAACAATGAACCCAGGGCGACCACTTGAGGCCAGAGAGTGGTGAGCAGGGTGCCAAGGCCCCGATTCTCAAACTGTGGTCCCCGGGCCAGCAGCAGCAACACCCAGAAACACCCCAGAGATGCACATTGTTGGCTTCTGCCTGGGACAACTGAACCAGAACTGAACCCCTGGTGGCGCCAGGCCAGGGGGTGATGCTGGTGTGTGCACAAATTTTCCTTTTGAGATAGGGTCTCGCTGTGGAGCCCAGGCTGGCCTCACACTTGTGTCAATGCCCCTGCCTCAGCCTCCTGTGTGCTGGAATTACAGCCGTGTGCAACCACATCCCACTTGTGCCTGAAGAGGACTCAGCACTGACCATCTCCCACCCATGCCCTCTGGCCCTCCCGGTCTTCCCTGGGACTTCCTGGTGTGGCTCCACACAGAGACTGGGCTCCAATCCTGCCACTCACACCATCTTTAAGGGCTGCTCTCCCCTGCTATCAAGAAAGAGCCTTGACCAAAAACATACTCGAAACTTGGCTCTTCATTTCCATACATGAGTCAACTCAGGTGGAAAAAAAGGCAACGACCTAGAAAGAGCAGGTACCTCCTTAGGAAGAGGCGCCAGGTCCAGGCACCTCTTCAAGAAAACCGAGTCCCCGGGGAAGGGGATCAAGAGAGAGAGGGAGGGCGAGGAGGGAGAGGGGAAGGAGGAAGAATGAAGACGTGTTACGTACATGGGCCACCTCCACACGAGGAACGGAGTCAGTACGTCCTGCAGACGTGGACTAATAAAAATCAAAACCGTGCTGGGCTTGGCAGCGCATTCCTGTGAACTCAGCACTAGGGAGGCTGAGGCAGGAAAGTTGCTAAGAGTTCCAAATCAAATTTCCCCATTAGGTCAATAGTGAACCTAACCACTGAACTTGATTCGGTCTGGTACCAATTCAGTTTTCGACCAGAATCATGGAAAGAATCAAGTTTGTGAACTGGGGCGCCACTGTATTTTGTTCTCACAGACAAAGAAGCAAAGACGAGATGTCACTGCCTCTGCAGGAAAGGCCAGGGTTCCGGAAGGGGAAGTTCTCGGGCCCAGGCCAGGCCACTCACCTCGGCAGAGCTGCACAGCCTCTCTGTTCCATCCGGCAGGGTCTCGATGACGCTGGGGTAGGGCAGGCCCAGGACTTGGGCCACGCGGGTGTCCTCCAAGCTGGTGCTGGGAATTCCTGGTCAGAGGGGAAAAAAACAAAACATGTTTGCAAGCAGGCGTCCCCTTGACAGCGCCGGCGCTCGGCTTTCGACTCCGGAGGAGACCAGTTCTGTTAGCTCACAAGTTGGAGATCCATAGCCACTCACCAGGAGGAAGAGACCAGGCTGGAGCAGCCCCACACCCCATACACCGCTCGCTATGCGGGATGTGCTACTTCCTCTCGTCTGTTTCCCATGCTTAGTTTCTTTTCAGTAGCTGTAAATGCTAAACTGGGACCTCTGGGCCCCTGAAGCAGAGGCTCACAAGCACCTGTGAGCCTCCTTCAGTCGCTCAGGGATGAGGTCAGAGGCCTTCTCCGGGAGGCAGGGATGCTGCCCTGGCATTGCCCAGGGCCTTGACGACGCCACTGGGCCAGGTGTTGAGAGCTGCTGACTGTTTTGTCCCCGAGGGCGGCAGCACACTCTGGGGACACTGACTCTTCGGCCCCGAGAGCCTTGATGGCACAAGGGTGAGCATCAGGGACACTGCCAAGGGCTGCTGCCGGTTGCCGGCGTGCACAGCTGGACAGGCCATCTCGGCTGGCCCTGGAGGGCGGTGTGTCTGAGCTGGGCCCTGCTGTGGGGAGCCCCCGGCATGACAGGGTCCTGGGCAGGGTTCCTGACTCCCATCAGCATCAGCGGTGCTCCCTGCACAGGCCAAGTTCAGTGTCCCAGGCCCTCCAGTGACTCTTTGCCACCGCGTCCCCTGTGGACACCACTGGCGGGTTTGTGGCTCAAACACCGTGTGGGCACAAAGGGTAAGGCGCTAAAGGCCAGTCAGATCTCCAAGAGCGTCTTGGGCCACTGCCCCAGAGGCAGCTTCAGGTTTGGGAGGTGGGTTTGAGAGCTCTTTGCAAGATGCAAAGCTGCAGTAGGATGCAGGGTTCTGCCGGTTCCAGCTGGGGTTACGGCGACAAGCAGCAACTGAGGGGCACAAACGCTGAGTGGGCTCACAGCGAGGGGACAAATGGCCAACAATAAATGTGACGAAGTGTCGGCGGTCAAGGAGCGAAAACAATCACTCATCACACACGAGAGTGCACTGGACGGGTGGGAGTGTTCGAAAGACCACAGGATTTATGTGGCCACATAAAGAGTGTCCTTGACCACGGGGTGGTGTTAGGACGCCAGTGCGGCGGGAACTGTAACAGGACAGGTGGGATGGCGAAAATATGGCTTGACCTGGTTTTCTCATTTATTTCTGCTTCTGTCCTTCCCGGAGAGTAGGAAGCCAGAGTTTATAAAATGCTAATTATGCAGTTGTGGGGACTGGAGACAACAGGAGAAACAATGTTCTAGGCATACATAAAAGGCTATTTTTCCCCCTCTGAATTCTCAATATTGTGTCTGTGATTTCTCTCTAAATATCGAAGAAGAACAAAAATCAGCTTTCTTTTTTTTTTTGGTAGCGGGGCTCAAACTTGGGTCCTTGGGCTTGCAAAGCAGGCGGCGGAACCACTGAGCTACGTCCCCAGCCCAACACCGGCTTTCTTTACTGTGTATCCTGGCTGATTAATAAATTTTCCTAATTACAAAACGCCTAAGGGTAATAGAAGGGGTTGTTCCTACGTTTAGAGGAGACGTAATGGCTTAGTGTCATTTTCTGCTGAGATTTCTGCAAGTCCTTCTGCAAAGCCTGACCCGGGGCTGGGGCCACTGCTCAGGGGTAAAACAAACGCCTACCTAGCAGGTGTCAGGCCGGCGCCTCCTCCCCAGCACCCCAGACAGAGAGTCGATCTGAGCTCTGTGAGGGAAGCTGTGATGTTACAGGCCGGGATCGTCATAGCAGTTGGCAGGCAGGCAAGAGGAGGCTGTGGACAGAGCCTTCTTTAGGCTTCCGCCCTCCGCCCCGGACTTCCTGGCACAGTGATGGGGAGTTGCCGAACACTGCAGAAGGCCGCCGAGGACACCTGACGCGTAGCGCTAAGCAGATCCCGGCTCTGCTGCTGCTTCCCAGTCCTTTGGGGAACAGCGCGAGCTCACCTCCCCCTCAGCGGTTCACCGGGGCCCCTCTCAGCGTCTGAGCTGCACTGTTCCCCACGTCTGGGCTCGCCTCACCGACTCTTGGTCCGCTGGCCGCACACTTACTATTTTCCATAGCAACTAGCCAGGTGTGGTACGATGAATGTTTTCAAACGCAGTTCTGCATAAGCGGTGATCACACGAAAGGGGAGAAGCTCTGTAGAGCACGTGCCTAGCTTGTGCCAGGCCCTGAGCTTGGTCCCAGCACCAAACTCAAGAGACAAACACCACGGACTCAGCAGCCGGCTCCTCCACCGCACAGGACCTGGGGCCACACCCGCGCACTTCGGTATGGTGATGCTGTTTAGTAGCCACTTACCTATCCTGGAATCCAGAGAGCCCCCGAGGTCAGCTTCGGCCAGGACAACAACAGGGAGCTCCCGCTGGGTGAGGGCGTCCACAGCCACCACGGGAGTGAGGCAATCTGAAAAGACAGCAGAGCCCGGCAGGCGCCGGTCACCCAAGACATGGGGGGTGGGGGACGACCGAGAAACATGGCTCAGGTCTCTGAGTGCTGTGCTAACCGTGAAAGAAAGCATCCTCTGAGAGGTGTCAGCGGGAAACGCACACCAGAGGACCTCAAACGACTGAACAAGCACAGAATATGGCCAGCCACGTGCAAGAGTAAGAGGTGAGCACGGCGAGTTTACTTTCCAGATGGGGGGGAAGGACGGACTCATCACTGCCTTTTCCTTTTGAAAACCACCTCTAATACACAGAACAACACACACACAAAACCTTTCTCTGGTGAGAGTAGGAGAGGTGAGTTCAAATCCCAGCGCTAGAGGATGAAGTGGACAGGGACAGGAAGTGACCGAGCAGTGCAGGGCAGAGATCTGCAGACACCCTAACCCCGCGCAGCTCCTTCCCAGGTGCTCTTGTCTTAGGGGCTACTGCAGGACACGTCCAGCAAAACGAGGGGACAAATGAAGAACGATATCAGACACAGGATCCAGAAACGGGCTGCAGCACCAGGAAGTTGGGAAGGTCATTCCCAGGACAATGGCAGTGAGGTCCAGGAGGCCGGAGGTGTAGCAGAAAACGGGAACGCGAGCAGGTCAGACCCCTGCAATAGGTGGGAATGGAATGAAGAGGGAGTTTCAAAGAGCTGGGGGCAGATGTGGGAAGACAACCAAAAATTCAGAGAAGAAAAAGCCAAAAAATTAAGAAAGGGACATTATGAATTTCAGGAAAAATAGGAAGTTTTATAAGAAGGAAAATGTATTCATAGTACACACGGCTCAACTGTGGGTATTTATGTGGTCGTAATAAAATACCTCAATTTATCCAAACACTGTGCCATCCTAAATGAAGCTTTTGGCCGGGGATTTAGCTCAGTGGTTCTGCCGCCTGCCTCGCCTGAGTTCGATCCCCCGTACCAAAAACAAAAAAAGGTGATTGCCCCTAAATGAAGCTTATTAGAACCACTGCTCCAGGGAAACAAGCCACACTTAGTCTTCACAAAGCACAGGGTTGGTGGGGAGAGAAAGACCGAAAGAAAGCCCCAGGGAAGGAGGCCCGGGAAGTGGGAAGTGGGCCACGATGGCAGCGAGTTGGCTCGAGTTTCTCCTGAACATAACCGTTAACAACTGTTACAGCTGATTAACTCTTACGATGCACAACGCCTGTCACATTTTGAGACTTCATGTAATTATCTAAAGCATATCTTCTCAAAACCCAGATTAAAATGAGCCAGGAGTCAGGATTTCTTCGAAGAGCTAAGGTGGCCCCGGAGGCACCAAGGCAGCGTTGATCTTCACCGCGGGTGTCAGGGTGCGGAGTGAAGCACAAGGTTCGAGGCTGGGGCTCCGCTGGCCCCGGGCACAGGCGCACCCAACGGACTCAGCCCTGGACTCCAGGCTGCGCTTCCTGACACATTTGCCCGTTCTGTGGTTGCGGTACTGAGTACAAGGCCCTCACTGGGCGGGGTGGGGCAGGCGCGAGGCGCTCAGTCCGTCTAGCACTGGAGCATGGGGCACAGCAGGGTGGGGCGCTACACTGACACGTCTCACCCAGGCTCGGCGAACGCCTGGCTGGACCCTGGCCACACGGCATCCAGCTCCTGCACCGCGCGGCGTGGCCACAGGCTGTCTGGGAGCAACTTCTAGGTCCGGACCACGACTGGAAGGTTACCTGGCCCGGACGGCTCCTCACCGGAACAGGATGAAATGGAGAGCACCCTGGAAAACCCTAGAACAGCCTGAAGGGAAGAGAGACTCGTCAGCCCGCCCAGCTGCACGGCAAGATGCTCCTGTTCATCCAGGAACCCATCACGACCACGAGACTCACATTCCAGTACATTGATCTAAAATAGACATAGCCGTGCGAGGCCACTGCTGTAGCTATGCTGTTAGTATTCTGCTTGTTTGTTTGACACAGTATCTCGCTAGGCAGCCCAGGCTGGCCTTCACTTCACTGTGTAGTCCAGGCTGGCCTTGAACTCATGGTGATCCTCCTGCCTCAGCCTCCTCAGTGCTGGGATTACAGGCGTGTGTCACCATGCTGGCTCTTTCTGTTACTGTTGGTATCCTTTGACTTTTCCCATAGTATACATGTATCATTTGGATTTTTAAAACAGTAACTTTAAAAAAAAAGGGATATAAATTGAAATAATCTTGAAGTGAAATTTTATATCTGATAAACTCGGAAAAACCTAGAAAGTTCACATCTGTTTGTGAAGGTGCAGAGAGTCATTTATCACTGGACTTGGTACTATAAGCTGATAAAGCCCCTTCAGAAACCAATAAAAGCAACATATAACGAGAACTAGAAAAACGCTCATGCCTTTCACCTGACAGAAAAACTCCACTCTTGGGAATATCTAAGGAAAATTCCATAAACCAAAGCGCTAGTGGACCATAATGTTCACAGCAATCTCGGTCGTAGTCCCAAACACTCCAAAAGCCCAGTGTTCAATCTACAGAGATAATTTAGGATACTAAGGTACACTGAGTTGATAGAATATTATACATAGATTAAAAATGATGGTAAAGCCTGTATAAAAAAATCAAGCAACATTTTCTGATAGGGTATTAAATGAAGACAAAAAAAATGAAGAAGCAGAAGCCATTTAATTTTTAAGATATGCATGGGAAGATGAATTAAAACTCCAGGGGCTGTGGATATAGCTCCGTGGCACAGTGCCTGCCAGGCAAGTGCAAGGTCCTGGTACCAAAAACAAAATGAAGTAACAACTACAATGACCACAGGCAGAAGAGTGAAGCTAGAATTCTACCTCATATAATAATTAACACAAAATAGATTAAAGATCTAACCTAAGATCCAGAACTATACAATTTGTAGAAGACATACATGTAAATCTTTATGACCTTTCACTAGACAATAGTTGTTGGGTTTTTTTTTAAAACAACACCAAAAACAAAAGCATCAAATAAACAAAAGACAAAATAGAAAACTTGGACTTCATCAAAATGAAAACCTTGCAGGGGTGCGGGTCAGTGGTGAACCCTTGTCTAGTGTGAATGAGGCTCTGGGTTCCACCTTCAGCAAAGTTAAAAAAAAAAGGAAAGGGCTGGGGATTTAGCTCAGTGGTTCTGCCACCTGTCTCGCAAAAGCAAGGGCCTGTGTTCGGTCCCTGATACCAAAAAATAAAAACATATAAAAAAAAGGAAAGAAAGAAAAGACTTTTGTGCTTTAAAGGAAACCATCAAGAAGATGAAAAGTCAACTTCTTGTAATCATGCCTCTGACAAAAAAGTATATCTAGAATATATAAAAATTAAGACAGGCAAAAATCTGAATAAATGTTTCTCCAAAAATGATATATTAATGGACAATGAGCAAATAAATAAAATCAAAACCACGATGACTACCACTTCACCACTACCAGGATAATCAAGAAGACACAACAAGAGGTGTCAACCAGGTGCAGAGAACCTGGGACTCGCACAGCTGCTACGATGGCGGACGGCTGAAGCTGCTCTGGAAAAGATCCCAGCAATTCCCCAAGGAGTCACTACACAGCCGAGCAATCCATGCCGGCAAGACTCAGATGGGACGAGAACATGAGATCTGTGTGAATGTTTCAGCAGCACTAGTCACCGTGGCAGAAAAAGCAGAACTGACCCAAACGACCGGCAACTCATGTACGGATAAGTAAAACGTGGTCCACCCATAGGATGGAGAATTATTTGGAAATAAAAAGGAATCAAATGCTTTGTGCTACATTGTGGAGGAGCCCTGAAAACATTATGCTAAGTGAAAAGAAGGCACACAGATATCACACGTTTCCAATGACTGGGAACGCCCAGATGGGCGAGTCTGGACGAGGAAGCGGGTACAGGGCTGGCGGGGGCGAGGGCGGGAAGAGACCACAAGAGGGCGCGGGTCTCCGTGGAGAGGGCTGCAGAGTCTGCGCGCAGACAACCTTCAATTACAGGCGTTCAGTGTGAACCATATGGTGTGTGGATTTTATCTCAGTGAAATCACTGTAGGATGAAGCCGTACTAAAAAAAAGTAGAGAGCCTCATTAACGCATTGGACTTTTTCATTCCACATAACGTTCAATTACTCGTTTGTCAATTAGAAAAAAAAATCTGTAAACTTAAATATTGGCAAATATGCAGCAAATGCAAGGCAGCTCTCTGGGGTCAAAATTTCTTTCTCAGAAAGAACGAGACCACAGTCTGGGGTTCTTGACCAGGCCTGGGGTTCTCTGCTACTTCCTGGAAGTCCCGTGCTGGGGAAGTGAGGCAGGGCCCCAGGGAGGCGCGGGAAGGCAGAGACCAGGAGCGGTTCACAGAGCGGCTGGCCGGCCAGTTCTGGGCCGAGACACGCAATGAGCCCCAGTCTCGGGGAGCTCCCTGTGTGGGAGACCTGCAATCCCGCCCCAGCCAGGCACTATTCCCCGCACCTAGACCCCAGCGTGCTCTGCAGCGGTGCCAGGTCACTTGCGGGCGGCAGGCTAAGCAGATGACCTCTCTTGGACAGCAGCTGCCACAGCAGAGCTCTGAAAGGTCCAGGGCGAGGAGACCTGCTGACTGCCACTCCAGTTCCTGGAGCAGAGCAGCTTCCCCTCCACAGCTCCTCTGGTGACACACATGGGAGGACCACCACTCTCAGGGACATGGCGGTCACAAACCACATTGTGGCCGGGCATGGTGGCACATGCCTGTGATCCCAGCACTCTGGGAGGCTGAGGCAGGAGGGTCATAAGTTTGAGTCCAGCCTGGGTAACTTAGCAACTTAGTGAGACCCTGTCTCAAAATCAAAAATAAAATAAAAATTTAAAAGCTGATGTAGCTCAGTACAAAGGTCTTGGGTTCCACTGCTAGTGCCACAAATACAAACAAACCACCAGCAAACAAAAACTAACCACACAAACCCAAACCAGATCAATAGCCAGGATCAGGGGTCTGCTCCTCACCCCAGGCAGTCACCTGAGAGGCTGGGCCCCTGAGGCTGCTGCTCTCTGATGTGTCCATGACAATGGGCTTCTAAGTCACCCTTTCCAGACCTCATTCACCCTTGGGGAAAGCAGCACTGTTTAGGCAATAGCGGAAACCTGTGGTACCGAAGCCCCAGGGTTTAAATAGTTTAACATCAGCCAGGCGAGGAGACTCCAGAGAAAGGCCCGGCTTCTGGAGCCTTCCTGACTTCCTGTGGGTGCCTCTCACAGTTTCTACTTCCTAACAAGTCCGAGCGCCCAGAATAGGATGGAAGAGGTGGCTCAGCAGAGAACAGGGAGCCGTCAGTGACTGGGAACAAACGAAAATCCCAGAACCCTGGGAAATTCCTTGCTTTTTCCTCTCTTAAAAAAAAAAATCTGTGCAAATTTGCTAGGTAAAGAATGCCAGTAGCACCAGCAACCTTGGCAAGGCCAGAGAGGGGACTGGCCCATGCCCACCCCCGCACGCCCCACCCTGCTGCCTTCCGGGCATGCGCAGAGCAAGCTGAACTGGAAGCCACGCGACCTTTCTTCTTGCTCTGCCGCGGGAATCAAGAGCCAGGTGAAGAGATCAGCAGCAGCCCAGTTCTAGGCAGAGAATGGAAACCCCTGCAGGTGTTAAACCCGGTCTCACGAAGTCTCAAGTGAATGCTTTGGCGACCCTCAGGGGTCACAACCATAGCACAGTCCTGGAAACCTGACGCCCAGCGGAAAACAGCCAGTCTGTAATGGCGAGTGACAGCAGCAACACACAGCATCCAGGTACCAAGACCAGAGGGCCTGTGGAGGCACAGACCCCTGGTCCGAGGGTCCTTTCAGTTTCCCTTTCGTCCATGTTGCTCCAGGCGTTTCAGCTTTCCTCCTGGGGAGTCGCGTTACACTCTGCACACCAAGTGTCCTCTCCGGACGACAGTGTCGTCTGACAAGACCCAAGGTCTTGATGTGCACCCTGACCTAGAGACATCTGCCTAAAGAGTGTTTCCAGCTTGAAAATCAGACCTGGGAAAACGCAGTGAGAATGCACTGTTCCGTTTGGAATTATGTGAGAGATTGCTAATGGGGAGAAAGCAGCTACCGGGCACGGAACGTTACACCTGGCAATAAATTCTCCAAAACGAAAGATGGGGGAGTCACTGTGCCTGCGCCCAAGCGTCACAGAAACACCGTGTGCATGCCTAAAAGAATTTCTCTATTTGTCATACATGAAAATGTTTTGAATGCAGAGTCTTTCATCTCAAACTTCATCTTATGTAACTTACCAGCTCATCAGTCTCCTATTAAAATTGCCTCATTTGAGTATGTGTCCCCAAATGAACCACAAGAAGAAAAAATGTGAAGGTTAGATTCTTAGTTTTTCAGTTTTGGATATTATTCAACAATCACAGCCCTCAAGGAATCTCAAATTGCTCACGAGGGTAAAAAAACGTGAGTTTTCCCCTTAAACTAAATAGTTGAAAAGAGCCCATTTTCCATTTGGGTAAGAAGAGAAGATAAAGCAGAGAGAGACAGTCAGAGCTGGCTTGGAAGCACAGACTTCAATTTTAACTCAGAAGAGCCTTTTGCTGTCTCAGGAGGGGCCAGGTGAGGACACGCACCGTGTCCCAAGGGACCCCTGTGCTCCAAGGCTCTGACAGCTGTATTCCTAGGATGTGAATGGCCAGGCACCAGGAGGCTCTGGGAAGGGGCCACAGGTATGAATGCTTGCTTTCCTGTTTGTTTGTTTTTGAGACAGGGTCTCCCTGTGGAGTTCAGGCTGTCCTTAACTCACTATGTAGCCCAGGCTGGTCTTGAACTTGGGGTGATCCTCCTGCCTCAGCCTCCCAAGTGCTGGGATGACAGGTGTGCACCACCACGCCCTGCTAACCCTTCTGTTCTAAGAGGAAAAAGTAAGGCTAAGGTGAAGGATGAATCGCACGGCTGACGAGAGGGGACTGTGAGCTCTGGCAAGGCCAGCAGTCAGGGGCTGGAGTCCGGTAACCTTCGAGCCACGGCCAACTCACCTTTGCCGGGCACCTGTGCCCCTCGCAGGGCTTCCCGCAGCGAGCTGCACCCATGCAGGAGGCTGTGGCTGGGAGCAATGGCCACGTGGGACGCGCCGTAGATGGCCTCGGGGGTGGCCGTGTAGGCGGTCAGCTTTTCTCTGGTGTCTTGCCCGTCCATCTGGCAGGAGGACATGAAGTTTATTTGGTTTCTCAGTGTCCCCGGGGCTGTGAGGGGCCTCAAGCGAGCATGTCCCACCCCTTCCTCATTCCCAAGCAGCTTGACAGCTCATGACCACGGGACCAGGTGCGGGACCCCAGCCACGGCAGCACAGGTGCTGGGAAGAGGAAGGAGGTCGACACCTGCTCAGAAAGACAGCTTCCTGGTCACAGATCCAATCTTGTTTCCTTCTTGAAAAAGGAGCTGTATTTTCCTCTAGGATTTAGGGGTTTAGTGAAAAATGCAACTCAATTTTCTAAAGAGAAAATCAGTCCCAGGGTTACAGCTTCTCAGAGTGAGGAAGGGAGGGTCCCGGCGCGGGTGAGGCCTGAGAGCTGTTGGGCACAGGCTCATGGGGCACTCAGAGCCCATCACGCAGCAGATGGAGGACAGGACAGCGTCAGGGGGGAGCCAAGTGCCGGGCATCGAGTGCTGTCCTGCGGGCCGTGGTCTCCTGTGCAGAGAACTCTCAGCTCAGCTGGGACAGGTCACTGGACAGACCCCGAGGGTGCACCAGGCACCAGGAGCTGCGAGGGGCACTTCTGTGAGGTGACACAAGGGAACTGGGGTCCTGGGGGCAAAGGTGGGCACCCAGCCGGCCATCGGTGGGGAAAAGCTAGCGGGAAGCCGATCTGTCTCCTGGCTGCATCTTCCTCCTAAATGTTCTGCAGAGACTAAGGTGAGGGCAGGGTTGATTAGAGGAGAAATCGGAAGGCTAAAAGAGAACACGTAGGCGCATGCCGGTCACCCCAGCCCTTGGGAGGCTGAGGCAGAAGGATCAGAGAGAGAGAGAAAGCGAACATGTAGAGAGCAGCAATGGAATGACTCTTAGGAGAGACAGGAGAGGAGCAGGAGGCCTGCAGCTGCGGCCTCGCTGCTTGTGACCGGATGTGAACACTCACGGCAGGGTCGAGCACACCTCCAGGTGAAGCTGCCCCTGCTTCCCGATAAGACCTCTGAGAACAGTGACAGCTAAGGCCCACTGCTCGGGAACAGGCCCACAGTCTGCATGTGACTCGCGTGTCCTCGGGGCCCCAGGACCCTGTGTCTGGCCGCCCAGTGCGGTACCAGCAGCGCTACAGGGCGGGACACATGAACTGTGGTGGGTGCGTGCACCTCGTAGACTGTGCCAAACCATGAATTTAAACATTTCTGTGGTGAATCTTTCTATGGCCGCCATCTTGAATGCTAACATAATGGGTTAAACATATCGCTGTTCGAATTAATGTCACCTCTCTGTTTACACTGGGAGAAACGGAGACAGGGTAAAGTGGGGTGTGCGGCCCGCTGCTGGAGCCGGAGCTGCTGGGCTCAGGGCAGGTTGTGGGATGTGAAGGGGTCTGGGCCGAGGCACTCACCTTTAGCGCGAAGTCCAGGTGGCAGCCCACGCAGTCCCCGATCCAGTGGGCCTGCATGCCCTTGATCCCATACCACTCCGGAAGCTGGGCCAGCGCGTCCTGCATGGCCTGAGGAAGGACAAGGCCGAGCAGAGGCGTCAGGAGGAGCCAGTGCTCCGGGGCTTGCTAGGCAGGGAAGGTTAGGGGCGCTACATGCAGGAGGCTGGGGCTCCGCCTCTCCTCCTTCACCTGCCTGTGTCAGAGGAGGCGGCAAAGCTGGTGCGCTGCTCCTGCCTCAGTTCAGGAGAGGGAGCCAAGGTTCTGAGGGAGAACGAAAACTACCAAGAAGGCTCCTCCTTCACTGTGAGAGACTGCTTGGGCCTGCATAAGATGGCTGCCCTCAACCTTAGCCTTTGCCTCGGTGGAAAAATCCCACTAGACTACGTACGTGACTTTTGGCAGGTTTAGCCCCTGGGCAAACAGGAAATCTTACAGAAAAAATAGCCCTTTGTGCTAACCACAGGTTCACGGGACCTGGAGCAGGAAGCAGGTGGTATTTCCTTGTCCTGCTTGCCCCTAGGGATTGTGAAGTTAAAGATTGCATAGGGTTAATTGTTGATGTACGCCTTCCCACTTACCCCTCCCCACATTTGGTAAAATACTGATTGCTGTATGGTTAAATGCTTGAGTGACTCATGTGATTGATTTGCTTGAACTGTCCAATAAGCTTGCTGAACCTTCCCCCTGGGATAACAGTATATAATCGTTTTGCTGAGCCAATAAAGCGCCTTTGATCAGAAACCAGACTTGGGCCGTGTACTCTAACTTCTTAAAGATTTCCTTCACAGACATTCAAGATCGGATCGGCCTCTGATGACCCACGAATAAGAGGCGGCTCTCATCTCCTATTCCCCGCGGGACGGGGTCCCCCCAGAGAGCCGCACTTCACGTCCTGGCTGTGTGTTTGGAGCATCCCACCCAGTTTGGGAGCTAAACGCGAGTTCCTGATCTGCAGGCCCCCTCCCACGCCTTCTCTCCCTCTGCCATCGAACAAGGGACCCGGAGCCCAGGCCCAACCCACCGGCACTGGGGCCTCCTCCTGGCAGAGCTGCGCAGCCCCTGCAGGTCCATCCTCCTGTCCCCCCACTGTCTTCTCGACTGAATTGGTGGGCTGAGAAAACTTGAGCTGAGATGCTCTGCTTAAAATATTCAGGTCTCAGAAGAGGACAGAGGATTCAAAGAGGATGAAATGTGAATGTTTTCATATGCTAATTCTAAAAAAGTGGCTGCTTAAAACCTAAGCAAATCTATGAATATTTTTAAAAACCAAAAGAAATCTTAAAAATTGACCAGATGAAACCAGCATCTTGAACCACCCAGCGAGCTCTCTTTAGTCTCCTCTGCATAATCAACACATGACTCAGGGCTGCTCTTTTTTCTTCTTTAATAGATAGGGTCTCCAACTCACAGTGACTCTCCTGCCTCAGCCTAGGATCAGGGCCGGCCCAGGCTGCTATTTGATGAGCAGAACTGTAGGGACCCTGCCCAGCTGGCCCAGGCTGACATGGGCATCCATGGTACTACAACTGTGCAACCTAAATGGCTGTCCCTGTCTGCCCAGGGTTTGCCCTGAGCTGAGTCCTCCCTCCTCTGCGGGGCACAGTGACCCCAGTGACAGGAGCTGCATTGATTTTAGTCCTAGGCAAGAGGTACCCCTCCCCCACCCTGATTTGCCCACGTTTGGGGGCTCACAGAACCCCAAAACCAGGCAAGCGCAGGCGTTTCAGACTGGTTTCTTAAAGTGCTGTGAAATTCCTTTTCAAACACAATCTGAGGAACTCTGTGTCAGAGCCGGAGGAAGAAGCCCTCCCTTTTCCTCTCCCTATCCCCACCGATTCCCAGGGATCAACATGATTCAGAATCCAGTGATGAATTCAGCTTCTCTCAGGGAATAAGGGAAAAAAACCACAGGGGTCATGAGAGTTCCCTAAACCCACTCAACCAGTGAGCAGCCGGTCCCAGATGACAAATCACCCAGACCTTCTGACTTTTCTGGGACCACGGTACTGTTTTCAGGTATCTACATAAATCCAGCAAAAGACAACCTTCTTCCAGATGCAAAAATCAGAAATTAATACTACCGGGTTTTCACAAGGAATTACTATACTGAGACCTCATCAGAAGCAGCACTCTAGATTCGTGTGGCTCTCGGTAAGTGGACACGGACACACTGTGGCCTCCAGTGGGGCCGAGTAACCTCTGTCTAGGTTAGGTCTGAAGTGACAGCTGCCGTTGCCCCCCGGGTACCCCACTTAAATGAAGACTGCCATGTCCGGCCTGAATGAGATCCTCTGAGCAAACATCTAGCCCCCAACAAACAACAGGGAACTATGGAAAGGGCCACGCTATTCTCGGTAAACAGAATAGATGGCCACAAAGAAAATTTAGGACGGAATACACAGTCTCCTTGGTGCGGAAGAGTCCAGTCTTATATGCACACCTGCACTGACCGTCCTTGGACCCTCAAATATAAACACTCCACTCCAGATTCCTTAGCCTCTTCTAAAAACCTATATAAACCTAATTTCCTTCCCATCTCTCTGCTGAAATCTTCCCCCAATTTCAGTTTGTTTATACCTGGGCAGGAACAAAGCTTTTTCCCAAAAGCCTATGTTGGAGTGGCCTCTCACATGCCGTTTGTAACAGAGATGTTTTAAGAAGTCGAACCAGAACTACATATTAATAAGTCAGAACACGAGCAAGCATTTAAGAACAGGGGCCACTCAGAAATGGGCTCAACAATATCCAATTGGAAAGAAAAGCTTTAGAAATATAAAAATCTAATGAGGAACAAGAAAGAGAAAGATTAAAACTAAAAAGCTGGGGATAAAAGGAGGATTAAAGATAACACAGTAAACCTGGCTTTCTCATCAAAAGGGGAAAATAATGCTGGGATAAATCCGTAGTACCCAGGAGAGAAGCATGTGTGAGCTCAGGTTTTACGAATCATCGTAACAGGCAGGACTACAGAAAGAATTCTTGAACAGGCAATGTAAAAGACATGATGTTTTTAGGAGACCTGGGTTAAAAAAATGTAAGGCAAATAGAAAAATGCAGATTTTTAAAACAAGTAGATTTATTTATTAGCTACTAAGGGGACAGCTGACGAATAAGAACCCTGCGAGCTAGACAGATTTGAGACAGAACGGAAGAGATGAGATTTAATAACTTCTAATTAAAATGGATGCTTTAAAAAAGCAGAGCACTTGGCACACTTTTGAATCAGTGTGACGTGATTAGCAATTCTTTTTAAATTATAATTTGTATACTTTTCTAAAATATATTCTTGGTGCCCAGATGTCTTTCTTTACTCTTCTTTTTGGAATCGTTTCCATGCAGTCACTCCAAAGACACAACGTACATCTGAGGTCTCAGAAAGGAAAAGCAGTCCTGAAGGCAGTAAGGCGTTTAGAGATCCAGTCCCTCCAGGACAGTCTAGAGCAAGGCTGAGCACCCATTCTGCAATCCAAACCCCACTTATTTACCGCAAGGCACCAACACTGCAATTAAACCTGAGGACCCAGGTCTTCGTTTAGAAACAACAACTGTTATCTGTGCTCAGCTGCTGGGGCGACTTGGCTGTGTGCCTCAGGCTCCCGACGCGGGTCTGGGGGAAAGAACTTCCACTTACACCTTAGTCTCCCTCTCCTGCACTGACTTTGGCATAACATTCTGCATGAAGATGTTTTGTTATAAACATTTATTTGGCCTGATGTCTGCCTTGTTTGAATTTAGAGAAGATACATAAGTAAGTATTTTAAAAAACTACCCTCTGACAGCCCTACTTTAACCTCTCTCTAACATACAGAACGTATCTCTGGCAATATCCCTGTGCACCTCAAGATGAAACAGACAGGGCCCACTTGTGCCAGAAAACAGCTTTCAGGGTGCTTGCCTGGGCTCGGTCCCCAGACTGCAAACAAAAACAAAGCAAACCCTCCGCCAAAAGGGACTCCCACATCGGAACAGCCAGTGGTGCTCTTGGAGTGCAGGCCAGAGCTGAGGCCCAGCCCGCCCATGATCTGTGGGAGGAAGCACAGGAGCCCAGAAAGCTGCGTGGCAGCCAAGCTGGGATTACCTCTGGCCACACTTCGCACCTGTTTTTCCCTTCTGACCCTGGCAGCACTGTCTCTCCAGCAGCAGCACTGAGGAACAACCAATAGGCAGAACGTGTCCGAGGTCACGAAAGCCCACGCCAACAGGTGAAGCAAGAGTTTTCCTCAGAGAGGACAAGGGCAGAACACTGGAACCAAAACAGTCTTCAGGATTCTGCTCCTGAGCACTGTACGGGTACCAATCAGAAAGCACACTTCAGGCCTTCATTTGAATCTGGTGCCGTACACAGGGCCAAACAGAGGATGCCACCCCCAGACCCTCATTTACGTGTGGGCTCACACAACCCGTCCAGACTGCTTCTGATCCTTCATCTGCATGTGGCTAGAGGCCAAGCAAGATTTGATAAGACCATCGCCCAGGGCCATATTTGCAAGAGGTGGGGGCCAAGCCAGGTGTTTCTGGTAAGATCCCTTTCCCTTCATCCTGGGGGCCCTTGTGAGCTTTTCTCACAGCCCGCTTTCTCCCAGTAGAGTAGTCTTCTTTACACCTCCAATCAAACTACACCCTCACTGCCTCTTCTGCGCATACTGCCCAGTTCTTTGTTCTGGACACTGAGGATGGGGAAAAAGCCTCCAGGACCCTTACATCTGGCATCAGAGCCGTTCTGCTTCCACTAACATCCACCACCACACTGGGAAGGCTGACAAGAGCCACCTGAGGTTTCTCTCTCCCTTTTCCACTCTGCAGCGCTGAGGACAGAACCAGGGCCTCTTGCGTGCCAGGCAAGCGCTCCCCCACTAGCCACCCCCCTGAGGCCACAATGCCACTCACGGCGCCTGGACCTCCCGTGACTGTAACCCCAGGGGAGCAGGGGAGGGCCGGGGGGGTCTCATCCCAGCAGAGACATAACCCTGACATCAGGCTGTCTTGTCTATGCTCACTAAAGGAAATGATCATTTTGTGGAAAAGTTGGAAAGGACCGGAACCTCGGTCCTCTCTCCGTCCTCCTCCACATCTTCCCTACGAACTCTGAGATGGGGACGTTTACCTTCGGTGGAGTCTGACAGGCAGCATTTTTCTCTCCAAATTGGGGCATTACACCAAAAAGCAGGGGTGCATTAGGACAGCACGGAGGGCCAATGTGGGCAACAGGGCACAAATTTGCACAGTTAGGATCACACTGCTGAATGACTCTGAAACTGCCGGAGCCCATGTCACCTGTGTGTGCCACTTTTTCTAGCTCCAAGCAGGGTCAGTTCTGTTATTTTGAGCAATTCTGACGCTCAAAGTTAGTCATCCCAGAATAGGACGCACAATCTAGAGACACGGAAGGGCCCTGGGGACATAGTCCCTTTCTAGGAGAACAGAGAACTCTGCTAATGATGAACGTTCACTTCCTCCAAGGCAGCGACCGCCCCTGCACCCAGCAGGAGGACCAGGCGCAGGCAGAGGATCAAGGTGCACAGCAGGGCTCTCAGGAAGCCGAGGCCCACCGCCGGGCCCTCCAGTGTCCGCATCTGTGCTCTCCCGCGCCCCGCATGTCCAGTGCAGCACACTTCCTTCCTGCTCCGAAACCCCCAGGGTCGGGATGGAGCACCCGGCTGGGTCTCGGCTCTGTCCTGGGCCTGGCCAAGTGGACACAGCTGGGCAGGGTTGGGGTGCTTAAAAGAAAGCAGCCCTGTACCCCTCTGTACTTCTCACGGTGCTGGGGCTGGAACCTGCGCTTGGCACCTGCTGGGCAAGGGCTCCACCACAGATCTCCACGCCGGCCCCATCCTGCTGTTTTCATTTGCTTTTGCGTGAGTTTTGGTTTTGCCATTCCAAGCGAAGGCCAGCACGGAGGCTTTTGTTTGTTTGCTGCTAAGTGTTCTGGTCAGGAAAGGGATTTAGAAAGGAGGCCCGACCTGAACTCTGCTTCAGATTTCACTACCTCTATATCTAAATGACACTGGAGACAGTCACTGGCCCCTCAACAGGGCCACCGAATCCCTGTCCTCCCTGGAGTCCGGCCGACCCTAAAAGAGGGGTGGAGGCCTGTGTACCCCAGAGGACCCGGCCCGGAGTGAGGGAAGGTACGCGGGTTTCGAAAGTCAAACGTAACGTTTAGTCCTGGCTTTCTTTTCTCCTGATCGAACTTACCGTTTCTTTTATTGTCAGAATATGAAGATGTGCCTGGTGGTTCATGTCTCCCTTTCCCTCTGCAGCCCTCCCTCCCTTGCTCCCTAGCGTGACGTGCTGTGGGCGCCCAGCTGGCGTGGACGGCCTCCCCCCGCCTCTCCCTGCCAGGGTTGTGGGCCATGGACAGGAAGCCAGGACTCAGGGTGCAGGGAAGCCAGGGAACCTGGAGCACGTGCCCAAGGGAGACCCCACAGGTCCCTGCCTGCAGGGAGGAGACACCACAGGTTCCCACAGTTTCCAAGTCCCAGTTCAGCCATGCGCCAGCCCTGGCGAGGACCCCAGACCTCAGCACCTCTGGGGCCAGGAGTCAGCAGGTCCCTGTCCCCTCCTGTCTCGGCCTCCAACCCCCGCTATCACTCAGGGGCCTCTCACCTGGATACTGCCAGCTTCAAGGTGCCCGCTCAACCTGGCCTGTGTCCCCTCCTGGAGTGGGGGCTCTCTGGGGAACAAGGCCATCTGTGCTGTTTCCGGTATGGGTGGGTGTGTGGGGCTCCTCTCCAGCTTCAAGGTCTACTCAGCCCTTCCTTAGCCACCCAAGGGTTCCTCTGCAACCCTAACAGTTTTTCATTTCAGATACTGGACTTTCCTGTTCTAGATTTCCAGTTGGCTCACCCTCCACCAGACAGGGTCTCACTATATAGCCCAGGCTGGCCACAAATTCTCAGCAATTCTCCTGCCTCAGCTTCCCTAATGCTAGAATTTTAGGCGTGCACCTCCATGGCCTGCTCGGTGGTTTCATTTTTTAGGAGCAGCTTGCACTCTCACCTGAGATTCCCCTCTGTCCTCCATCCAACCCTGTGGATGTAATGGCTGCCTGTGGCTTTATCCGGTACTTCCCGTACCTGGGTCCTCTCCGCTGCTCTTGGGACATGCTTTATTTGTTCTGACTCTTGATGAGGAGTCACAATTTCCTGCTTCTTAGCAAGTCTGGCGATTTCCCATTCTATGTTGGACCCTGCAGGTGTGAGGGGCCTGGACTGCTCCCCCCTTAGAGATCTTGTTCTTATTGCTCACTAAGTTGCCTGCTCTGGTTCTCTTCCCAGCCCTGGAGTGTCGCCTCCATTCTAACACAGCGCCCCCTCGCTGGGCCCCCGCCAGTCCCTGTCTGCGTCCCCTGCACCCCACACCTCTGGGGCCCGGTGCTCTCTCAGCTCAGGGTGTGGAAGCCTGGCTTCCCTCTTCTGCTTTCGGGCTGACTCCCAAAGAAGCTTTTTCAATAAATCTGCACAGGGTGCAGCAGGAGCAGGAGAGTCACCATGGTAACCAACCATTTCAGCGGGAATCACCGCGGCTGCTGGTGTAGAGCACACCCCAGGTTATTACAGCACCAGCCACAGGCACAGCTGCCCAGGCGGCTTTCCAGTGTTGCCCACGGCACAGCTGCCAGTGTCCCTGGCGGGAACCCAGGAGCCGGAGGTGGTGGGTCGCCTAGTCGTGCTCCTTCGGGCTCCCGTGTCACCGTGCTCAAGCAGCCAGCACAGTGCCCTCGGCCCAGGTAGCCTTTCCCTGGCTCCACTGCTAGCCCTGCCACCTCCCGAACAGCGTACTACTGAGAGGAAAGGCCTCCCTGAGGACTGGTCCCGAGACTCGGAGAGCACAGAGACTGCGGTGGGGGCCGTGGCTGGACAACCGAAGTCCGATCCGGCCAAGTCCATGGTGACCAGAGGTTATTCGGAAGCCTGTGCTCACTTTGCACGTAAGAACTGCAGTTGGGAATCGGACCAGAAGTCCTTCAGACCAGTTCCCACCTCTGGGCTCGGTGCTGACTTGGACACTGGCCAGCTTGAGGGACACGGAGCGCAGAGCGGTTCTGGGGTAGACAGAACCAGTGCTGCTGCCCGGGTGACTGGTGACTTAGCAGGAAGGCCCTGCTCTCACCCTCAGCCCACCTGGTCCAAACGCCTGGGTTACGAACGAGATCTTGCAAAGGCCAGCGCTCATAGTCTCACGGTGCTCAGGGACGCAGGGAGGCTCAGTGCTCGGGCTCTCACCTTCCCAGTGTCCCCCGGCTTCCTCTTGGGGACCGGCTGTTCCCTAACACTGGATGGGTGACCTCCCTGTCCCCCTGAAATGCCCTGCTCTCTGCTGGAGCTCTCACAGAACCACGAGCCGTTCTCGACTGACTTCTCTGGTGTAGAACTGCTGATGCAAAGCAGGTGATTTCTGACCTCTGTGGTGTGAAAGGCCCCCGTGGGAACCAGGTGTGAAGGCCCAGGCCTGGCTGAATGCTCCTTGAGACTTGGGGGAGGAGACAGCACACACCCCCGCCCCGACGCTGTCTGCTAGCCTGCCCGGCCAGCCAGCTTCAAGGACAGAGTCAACTGCAGCTGAAGGTGGATGAGAGAAAATACACATCTAGGTGCCGCCTGCAAATTATGAGCCAGATGGACTTTCCCCGAAGCCCAGATCACATGTCCGCTGGCTCTAGTTTGTGCAAGTCTAGTAAAATGAGGAGCTCTGTCAGTTCGGAGCTTTTGTCCACAAGAGGCAGAGTCCCGGGCCTGCCTCTTCCAGATTATCCTGTCTCTGGTCTTTGGTCCTCATCCGTCCCTGGTCAGGGCTAAACTCGGAGGCTGGACTCCCCCAGGCCACGGTGACCACTGCCCCTCAGGTAAGGGGACCGAGGCTCCCTGCTTCCTGTCTGCCCATCCTCAGCTTCACCCACCCTCTCCTGTCAACCGAGTGGCTCCCCAGCTCCCACAGGACCTTGGAAGGTGTTGCTGCGGGGCGCCGCGGGCCGACATTCACCTTTGCATACGCGGTCGTCCTGAGAAACCACTGCTTGAGAAATCTCTGCTCCACCTTCGCGCCGGAGCGCCAGGACTGGCCGTGCTCATCCACCTGCTCATTGGCGAGCACCGTCTGGTCCACTGGGTCCCAGTTAACCAGGGCCTGTGGGGACACAGAAGACAAATGACTGCTTGTGGAAGGCCCAGGGGCTTCTCACATGCCAGGGGGCTGCTCAAGGGCATCAGCCTGGGGACAGTGTGCCCAGGGGACCCTGATCCAGGTGAGCAGAACGTGGGGACCTGCGTGTGGCTGCCTTGTGAAAGGAAGGGGCAGAAGCCCTGGGCAGCTGTGCCATGCAATGTTGGTGTCTTCCTGAGCACCAGGAGGAAGCCATAGGACTCGAAAGTTAGTAAACAGAGAAGAAGAAGGAGAAGTGGTACCGACTTGAGAGACCAGAGGGGTGGGGCCGCTGTGATGTTAGCTCAGCGGCTGATTTCCTGAGTGATCCCGTGGGTCAGGCTCTGCGGACTCACAGCACCTGCCTGTCTCCATCGGGCAGGTGAGGACCGTGAGGGAGAGGCGTGCGATGACCGCGTGGGCTGTCAGTGAGGCCCTGCTGGGCGGGAAGCCAGGTCTCTAGAGACCGAGTAATTTCAAAAACTCCCATTTCAATTCAGGTGCAACACAAAGCGGGTAAATCTTAGGAGTGCCTCTGGTGGATTTCTACACAGGTACACACTCATCTCTCTCAACCTCGCTCTCACAGAGGATCCCGGCACCCCAGAAAACTGTTCCACTTCCTGACCATCAACACCACCACTTCCGCTGGGGAGGACTCCGAGCTCCATCTCCTCGGAGTCACCTGACTACAGTGAAGATTCTCGCCAGAGTCCCTGGTGGTTTCTCTCCCTGGCTCAGGTAAATCCTCCTGCCGTCTACACACACCCTTTGTGACACACAGGTACGGAGAAGGTGCTGAGTGTGGGGCGATGTGCTGGGTACTGAAGTATCCTGACTCCACACACGTTTTTGCATTGGTATTGATATTCCATTCATTAAAAATTTTTTTTGTACCAGGGATCGAACTCAGGACCTTGTGCTTGTGAGACAGGCACCGGCACCACTGAGCTAAATCCCCAGCAAGGTGTTGAGAGCGTTGGTATTGCTATTCCATTCAGTAGATTTTTGTTGCTGACACGTTTTAAAAATCAGTATAGCAGATCCTGAATTTAATCGCTGGTACCAACAACAACAACAAAGAAATTAAAAAATAAAAAAAGTGGGCCCATAGCAATCGCAAAGACAAAGGGGACTTAGTTTTCTCATCAGCGTTTCCCACGTGGCCTGGCTTTCCGGGCAGGAGCCAGAAACGCTCCTGAGAAGGCCGCACAGAAGCCAGGGCGGGGACGAAAGACGGGTCAGAGCAGAACAGCAGTCCGGCCACAGGAGCGGCGGCAGGGAGGAGGCAGCACCCAAGGAAGGAAAGAAGGGCAGCAGCAGGACCCTCCCGGCCCACACTGGCTCTTCCCTGGGCCGCAGTCCCCGCAACCTCAGAGCCCAGGTGCAGCCCAGACTTCCAGTCGGGTGGAGTCCAGGCCCCGCAGGACAGGGAGCGCAGGGCCTGGGGTGCTTTCTGGGGCTCCTCGCAGACCCGCACCACGGCAGCCCTGGAGGCCGGGCCTTCCTCACCCACTCTCCGGGTTTCCACATCTTCAACGTGTCCTTTGAAGGACACCTGACTGCTAAGCAAGCACGAGAAGGATATAGTTTCGGGACAACTTTACCAACCACGCTGTCTCCCTGGACGATATTTATGTTCTCTGCCGTGCTGGAAGCTGACTCTACATTCCTTTGCAGTTAAATAACCTTGCGGGTAAAATACTGTCTTTAGTTTGAAAGCAGCCTTAACTCAAGCTGAGGGCAGTGCAACTCTGAGCCCCGACAGTTACAGGCAACATCCCAGGACGAGCAGTTCCAAGGCTGGGGGTCAACCCAGGCTAACACACTCGATTCGGGCTCCATGCTTCAGTGACACATGGACCAACTGTGTCTGGTGCCAGTGACGTCCTGCATTTCTGTCTCTTCCCCTGTCCTGCTGTGCCACTGTGGCGCTGGGTTGGGGACCAGGGCCACTCTGGTGTCCCTGACACAGCCGCTGTGGCCTCCTGTCCCAAACCCTCCCGCCTCTGCATACCCTCCTTCTGGGGCTCCCTCTAGCCCAGCCTCGGCCTGCACGCACGGTCCCTGGGCCCTCATCTGCCACTGGTGTGCCCTGGGCCCCGCCTGACACCTCACCCCTCCCCAGGCTCTGGCCTCGCTCCCTCTGCTGGTTTCCGCCCTTCTCTCTCCTCACGGGAGGCTTTTGTTTAAAGCACCAGGGACTCAGCTTTAGGTTCCTGTGTTTCAGGCCCTGGTTTGTTTCCACGCTGAGCTGACCCAGACCCACCCCGCGTCTGGGCCACTCCATCTGCGCAGACCGGGCGCGAATCTGGACGGGGTGGGGGTGGCTCTCCTACTGCTCCCATCTCCTGTCATGGTCACACTGTCCCAAAGCCGTGGGCGCTCGGGGCACAGGCATCCTCCAGTCCCTTCAGGCCCGGCTGTGGAGGGTGAGTCAGCACCATCTCCGCTGCCAAAGATGAAGCAAAAACCAGTGGCTCCGCAGTTCCCGCCACACGCACACTTCACAGGCACGGCGGCCGCCCTCTCTCCGATAATGACCCAGGGAATGGGAGCTGTTCTTAAACGGAAGAGGTGAAGTCCCTGTGCCACGTAGTGGCCTTTCTGTTCATGTTTACGGCTGAACGTTTTTGTTTGGTAAGAACAAGGACAGATGCCTTTTATGATGGAACCGAACATTCAGTGGACCGAGCTCGTCTGGGCACAACGCTTACAGTTCCCAGGTCTGCTTGTCACGCTGTGGGCACACTCCTTCCCTCAGTGCCCGTCTACATGGCTGAAGGCAGAACTGAGTGTAAGGGCTGATGCCACCTTTTATCAAAGAATAGAAACCATGAAAATGTCGATGCTGGATCAGTGTTCCGAAGACCCACATGACCCAGGGAGCCAATATTATGAACTGAGCAGGTGCACGATGGGAGCTGGGCATGGGGGTGCACGCCTGTGACCCAGCACTTAGGAGGCTGACGACCGTCGTGAGTTCAAGGCCAGCCTGGGCTACATAGTGAGACCCTGGCTCAAAATAACAACAACAAAAGGAAAAGAAAAAGCAAAGGAGATGGAATTCTGTCACTGAATCCTCTGATCAAAGGATGTGTGTCAAGAATGCAGGCACAGTGGACTTTCTGCCTGCTTCTTCTGAAGCTTCGAGACCAGCGCTGTCCTGACAGTTTATCCCAACTGCCAACCTGACTGCCCTGCAAGAGGCCTAGACCTCGGCTGGACTACAAGCATGCTGCCTTGTCAGCGGGCTGGCCCACGGGCGGGCCGTGTGACTGGACGGGCCGTAGGACCCTGTAGGGAAAGTGCGTCCTCGGTGTCCCAGTGGGTGTGCCTTTTCTCGGGCTCTCCCGTTCTCACCCAGCTTCCTGGCCGCCGTGAGGTAAGCAGCTTTCCTCTGCCAGAGCCTCCTGCCGTGATGCCTCTGCTTTGGAGTTGGCTGACCACGGACTGAAACCTCCAAAACCATGAGCTACAATAAACCCATCAGGTATGTGGTCCCAGCAGCCAAAAGCTGATCAAGAAAGCATCCAAAGGAGGGCCAGGGATTTAGCTCCGTGGTGCCGCCGCCTGCCTCACAAGCATGAAGTTCTTGAGTTCGATCCCCAGCACCCAAAACAAAACAAATACAAATCATTATGTACAGCCAACACAATAAATAGGGTTGGGGATTTAGCTCAGTGGTGCTGCCGCCTGCCTTATAAGCACAAGATCCCAAGTTCAATCCCCAGCACCAAAAAAAAAAAAAAAAAAAAAAAAAAAAAAAAAAAGTATCTAGAGACACAACAAACACATTCTACACTTGTGCTGTCCAATACCCAACACTAGCTACTAGCCGATTGGATATCTGGCAGTGACTAGTGTGACTGAAAACCTGACTTTTTTTGGTTTTTTGAGACAGGGTCTCATATGTAGTTCAGACCGCTCTGGAACTCACTGTGTAGACTAGGCTGGTCTTGAACTCGCAGCAATCCTCCTGCCTCGGCCTCCTGCGTGCTGGGATTACAGGCATGCGCCACCATGCCCCGCTGAAAACCTGACTTTTAACAGTTTTTAATTTTTAATTATGTTAAAGTCAAACTGGCACAGGACAGTGGCTACCACGCTGGACAGGGCAGCTTGAGGCCACTCTGAGAGATCCCACCCTCACTTGCTCCCCCAACCTTATCTACTTCGACCAAGCCTCTCCATAAGGAGCCCACCCATTTCCCGGGAGGCCACTCCCACAGGCTGGAGACACTGGTAGTTGGTTTTTGCTTGGTTTTGCATGGTGCCGGGAATCAGACCCTGGGCCTTGAACATCTAAGCATGCGCTCACCCTGCACTGAGCTACACGCTCAGCCTAACAACTATTCCCAGTTTTCCCAAGAACCCTGCAAGGAAGATGTTCCGCCCTGGCCGGCAGGTGAGAAGCCAGGGGTCTCACGGCTTCAAGAGCAGCAGGTGAAGTTCTGAAGGTCGGTGTTTCTGCAGCGCTCTGCCCCTGACCACCTCACAGGTGTGAGGTACTTCGTACGTGAGGCGCTTCAGTATGCGCTGGGAGTGCCAGGCTGACAGAAGCCCAGACCCTGGGCTGGAAACAGAGGCAGCCGCAGTTACCTTCTGGGTCTGCATGGCTGATTTCACGGACTTGGGCGGGTGTTTACCGTCACAGCTACCATGCAGCTACCTTATGCTAACCGTGGTGTACCCTGAGGAGATGGAGCAGCATCCGGTGTTTTAAAAGCGCTGCTAACTTTAACTTACCTCCTTCTGATAGGCCAGTCCGGCTTCATACAGTTTAATAAAGAGGTACTGAGTCCATTTGTAGTAATCCGGCAAACACGTAGTGATTTCCTGCAAAGAGAGGACAGCGTCATGGGCAGGCCACGGTGGGCGCGCCTCGGGGTGCACGCTTCGGCCTTGCGATTCACTCTGGAGAGCAGGCCGGCCTCGGGGACACCTACCAACCTGCAGGATTCTCCCTGATCCGCAAGGCGAGGGAGGCGCCCTTCAGTCTGGGGAGAGCTGTTACCGAGAAGCTCCCTCCCACCCTCGGCCCCGTCCAACAGCAAGAAATTCAATGTCACGTCCTTGGCACGCGCCCTGCCCACCGTGAACTGCACTGCGGAAGATGGGTACTAACACTCGGTCAGCACACACACACAAGCGGGCCTGGAACGTGGCTCCGGTCACACTGACAATCCCAGAGTGCAAGAGGGATCTGCCTTGCCACGCTCCTCCCTGCAGCACGGATCCCGTGCCACTGCGGACCCGGGACCTGGCAGCTCGGTAGGCTTAGCCGGGTGTGACCGGCTGCCGTCTCCTCAGGAAGGCCGACCAAAGACACTACCAAACAGTAGACCTGGTGAGAAACCCCGGGCTTGTGTTCCAAGGCTGAATCAAAGGCTTCCAAAGCTTACTTTCTGTCCTTGTACTGCAATTGCCATGGAGTTTCAGAAACAAGTCCGTTTTTCCAGTGCAGGGGATCAAGCCCAGGGCCTTGTGTGTACCAGGTAAGCCCTCTGCCACTGCACTAGCCTTTAGCCCCGAAGGCCGAGTCCTGATGAACCAACTCACACTTTGCAGCTGGCATGAAATTAAGTATAAGAACTTCGATGCTGCCATGTTTACTTCCTAGTGCTCTTTCACTTCAGAAGCTGGCAATGGAAATGGAGGAAAGGCTGGGGGTATGGCTAGGGGGGGGGCTTGCCTAGCATGCGGGAGGCCTTGGCTTTGACCTAGCATTGCAAAATGAAACAAAACAGAGCCGGACATAGTGGCACGCTCCTGTGAGACCAGCACTTGGAAGCTGAGGCAGGAGAATCTCCACAAGTTTGGGGCCAGCCTGGGCTACAGGCTGAGTTCAAGGGCAAATGGAACTACATAGCAAGACCCTGTCTCAAAAACAACGAAAAGAAATGGGTAAAGGGAGGAGATGGTTCAAATGGTTCCATTTGTAACAGACTTCTGACAAAAGATATGTCTATCAAAAGTGTAGTCGACTCATCTTTCTCAAGATAGAGAACAAGGAGAGCTTCAAACCCAGGACCGAGGACAGCAGGTGTTTTAGAAAACAAACAAGGGGTCTGGTAACTCCTGATGGCCCCAGCGGGCTGTTTCTCTTACTTAAGATTCCCCCGTCCTTTTACATGCCACTTGACAAACACAGCAGAGGAATAACTATACAAAACAGATGTTTACGTGTAAATAACTCAGCTCTGACCCCACTCCCCCACCATGAGGCAGGCAGAGAACAAGCACCGCCTAGCGCCAAGCCCACTGGGGTCCAGGCAGCACTGGCATTGGGTTCTGAGCCAGCAGAGCCTGGGGTGCTGGGCGCCGAGAACCTCAACTCCAGACCAGACCAGCAGTAGGCAGGGCACTGGCTCCCCGACCCCGAGTTCATCCTGCAGCACGGCCCACACTTGTTTTTGTCAACTTTCTAGATAAGTAACTTAAACATTTCTATTTTTCATAAAACCCAGGATTGAACTCAGGGGCACTCTTGCCACAGAGCTGCAGTCTCTTTGTAAAATTTTTATTTTAAGACAGGGTCTCACTACATTGCACAGGCTGGGCTTAAACTTGCGATCCTCCTGCCTCAGCCTCCCAGCGGTGCTCCTTGTGTATGCCCAGGCCTGGGCAAGTCAAAGCACTGCACTGCGAATGAAGAATGAACTAGAGACAGGCGAAGGCCTGCTGTTGGATGAAGCTTCTGTTCCCTGTGCTTCACAACTAAACGCAGATTACACTGCAACCACGAAGTGACCTAGAAAGGGTGTGGGTGTGTGGGGCGAGGGTGTGGGGCCAACATCCCAGGCCTGGTCACCAGGGCATATCTTTTTTTCAAACTTGATGAGATGTTTAAAGAAATACATAGAGCAAGGATGAGAAAATAACAGCAGTTGTTTAGGCGAGGGTGTGAGGTTCCTTGTCGTCCTTATTTTTCTGTATATTTGAGTTGTTTATAATAAAACAGTAAAGTAAGCCAGGCGTGGCGGGACAGGCCCATCATCTCAGCGCTTTGGCAGGCTCGGGCAGGATGATCGCGAATGTGAGCCCAGCTTGGGTAACGCAGGGAGACCCTGTCTCAGAATTTAAAAGAAAAAAAGATGTTTCTTTCCTGTTTGTTTTTTTTTACAAAGGGCTGGGGATCAGGTCAGTGTGAAGGTCGTGGCTTCCACCTCCTGTACACCGAAATGTATAATACATATTTCTCACTAATTAATACCAACATGTATCTCAGAATGAATATACATTTTCAAGGCCCCCGCTATGCTTCTTCCACTGACTGAGACTAAAGTTACGCAGCAATGGAACAGCATTAGCGTCACCTAAATTTATGGAGATTTTTTTTTTTTTTTTTTTTTTTTTTTTTTGATAGGATCTCACTAAGGAGACCAGGTTGACTTCGAACTGAGCAATCCTCCTGCCTCAGCCTCTGGCTAGGTCTGGGGCTTTAGGAGTCAGTTTTACACAACATAGAAGAGAGGACAGACATGGTGTGGGTGGGAGCTTCTCGGCCACGGTGGCTCAGCTCCCAGGACAGCAGGGACTTGGGACCTCAGGCTGCTCCCCTCACTGCCCAGCCTGGGGGCCCCAGAAAGCCTCCTGTCGTTTCCCTCCTGCAGATCCTATGCACAGAGGCAGCCGCAGCAGCTGGAGAAGGAGCCCTGGATCTGAGGTGGGGCTACCGCACCCAAGGCTGCCCAAACCCGGGGGGTAGCGCCAACCCCGTGAGACTTCCTGGTGAGGCCACCAGCAGAGAGGCTTCACCGTGACAGGATCTTCCCATTCTTGGATGCTTCCTCATGAACCCATAGTTTTTAATCCAAAAAGTCAGATCATTCAAACTTATAGCTCTAAAATCAGCTGCAACTCAGGCACACTCCACGTAGATCTGCATCAGGTGACCGCTGACGTCCCCATGCTCCGCCCCTGCAGTCCAGCTGCGGAGACGCCGGATTCACGGACCTGGAATCCCCGAAGGGTCCCTGCGCAGCAGTTCTATACCCTCCGACACCGCGTGGAGCACGACACACTGTGCACATCCAGGGGCAAACACGGAGCACAGCGCGGCTCACGGCAGCCTTTCGGGCCCTCAGTGCCCTGCATAATTTAAAAGCCCTGCCGCCCAGCTGGTAGTTCCTGTGGCTCAGTGACTTGGCAGCAATGGAGCCACCTTCCCACGTTTAGGTCCCTCAGGAATTTAACCAAACAAACAGCCCTGAAGCAACCAAGAGTCTCACTCAGTGGGGCCACGCATTGGCAAACTAGCACGGTGAGAAAGCTGGACAGCCACTGTGCGAGGGTTTCCGGGACAAGGCTTGGCCTCCTCTCCCAGCCCCACCGAGAGCCTCCAGCCCTCAGAATACAAATTGGGAGACGGGAGGAGGCCCTCACATGCTTGTGGAAGCATCCATCTGTCTTGCGTGTTTTTGTCCTTTGTCCTTTACTGCCACACATCACAAGAACGTAGGCACTAGTCCAGCCCTCCACCACTGTGCAGGGAGGGTTCTGCCGCTCAGGCCAGCTCTGCAGGTGCTAGGAGGAGTGTGGTCCATGGGACACCAGGCCTGAGATTTCTCTCTCCAGGCCCTGCCCTTAACTCAGATCCTCCCTGCAGGTCTCCGCCCCACCTGACACAAATTCTTTTAGGTCCCATTTCAGTCCTCTGGACACTGAGAAAGCAGTAAGGAATAACTCCCTTATGCCCGGCCTGGAGATAACCACACATAAACTATATTAGGCAACCACTTGTGCTTGGTGACCAGCTGTTTACAAAGCCAGCCCTTCTGGGAAGCAAAGCTGCAGAAAATCTAACTGAGACATCGGGGAAGAGGAAGTGGGCGGCCGCCGAGTCCCTTCCTAGGGCTCCCAAGTGACAGGCAGGCACAGAGGGTCGCCGTGTAGGCAGGGAGCTACCACAGCCCTGGCTGGGCCTAATCAGGCCTCCCTGCTGGCATAGAACCTCTGAACGACGGAGGAGAAACAGTGCAACTCCCAGACCGTGAGGGTCAGGAATGCCGAGAGTGTGTTCCTCCAAGTCAAAGAACGAGTCCTAAGGAACAGCGGAGGTTGAGTAGAAAACACTCCTCAAAAGGCAGAGACGGTAGTTCCTGAGAGACGGGGGCCCTAGTGGGTTGACGTGGGCCCCACTTCACAGGGGAAGTTCTACAGAGCAAACGCACGAGCTGGGTACAAGGTGGGTCAAAGCTAACCAGTTATCAGCAGGGTTCCCAGCACGCCGTTTAGGTAACGTTGATCCAGCGGGGAAGCAAGTCATGCAGCCAGTGAACGCGGAAGGAGCAAAGGCCCTTTTAGGAAGGGCTGGATCGGGACGTCCTGGTCACCCCGGCGTGACCGGCGTCTACGGAGACTCCTCGGATCAGGTGACACCACTTCTCTGAATAAAGGAGCCACGCAGGGCCGGCCCCAGTACACACGCCTCAACGCAGCTGTGATGTTCTCACCCTGGGCACTGACTCGCGAGGCCCAGCTGCTGCCAGCCTGCGGTGTCTCTGCCTGACTCAGCTGTCTGTGACACTGTCTGTGGGCTCTGTCTTAGCCTCTCTCTCTCTCTAGCTACTGTCATGCACTGCTCTACGGAGAGGATCACACAGCCAGGAACTGGGAGAGGCCTCTGGCCACTGCATAGAAGGAACCAACCCTCCCTCCAGCCAGCAGCTACAAACCACAAGAGCAAGCCCCAAGGCAGAGCCCATGAAGGTCACGGCAGCTGCGGGAGGGCCCTGCGCCAGTGACGCGCGGAGTACAGGATTCCTGGCACTCAGAGACTGTAGGAGAACACGTGCTGGGGTGCTACGCTACTCAATCTTGCATCAACGGGTCCT